GGGGATGAGGAGGACGATTGGAGGAGATGAGGAGGGTGGTGGGAGGGGATGAGAAGGATGATTGGAGGAGATGAGGAGGGTGGTGGGAGGGGATGAGGAGGGTGGTGGGAGGGGATGAGGAGGATGATTGGAGGAGATGAGGAGGATGGTGGGAGGGGATGAGGAGGGTGGTGGGAGGGGATGAGGAGGGTGGTGGGAGGGGACGAGGAGGATGATTGGAGGAGATGATGAGGGTGGTGGGAGAGGACGAATAGGGTGGTGGGATGATAGGTGTATGTGGTGATAGTGATATGGTTGAGATAGTCTAGATAGTGGGGGAGGGGACGACGACGTGAGTTGAGGGGGGGCGATGGCAAGCTGGCGACACGAGCAGGTACCAGAGCAAAAATCCATAACTGCAATCCGAGATAACAGCGAAACAACAACGAAGCCATTAAGTGAAAAACCAAGACGAGACGGGAGTGAAATCCGCAAAGAATACGCTGAACGTACGTGAGCCTACTAATACGCGCACACGCAGGGACACGCACGCACACAAACACACACGCACGCACGCACGCACGCAACAACGAACTGCAGGCAAACAAGACTGACGACGCTAAGCCAGGCAAGCTGGCGATCAAACTGCGCAATATTTTGATGGCATTTTTCTCCTCTCTTCCACGACACAATATTTTGCAACAACACCGCACGCTGCGCATGTGTATAGAGCACTGCGTACACACGAACACACAATAAGCCTCATCATCGCTGCATCATGCAGCGCGCATACGCCACGCAGCCGAACGCAGAGGCGAGGACAAACGAGGCGCTCACATACAAACACGCACGCACACACGCACGCACGCACGCACGCACGCACGCACGCACACACGCATATGCAGGTGCTATTCACCCTCTTCATATCTACCCCGGCAGCGCGATTTCCCGGAGAACACGGACAACGATCAGCGCCGCGGACTGCGTATACTTGCCCCTCGCGCACTCACCCGGCCGTGCAAGCATCAAGCTCTCGTTACTGTGATACTCTTAACGAGCTACTACGCGGCGAGACCGTACGGGTCGTCGTCGTCGTCGTCGTAGTCGTCGCAACACACGCGCACGCGCACACGCGCACTGACAGTCACGAGAATGCATCGATAAGTAAACAGCGGCTGTTTATAAAGAACGAGCCGAGCAACGAAAACTAACTAGGGAGATCATACCGTTCTGGGCCTTGGCTGTCGGGGACGGTAACGGCGGCTTTGTACTGTGGGCGGAGCCGTTGCGTGTTCGTTGGGCCGGGCATCGGACCAGGGGGGTCGGGCCATTCATTGTGGGTGGCGGGGCCCGCGTCGTGGACGGCGGCCATGTGTGGTCATTCATTTGGCCGGGCATGGGCCAAGACCCCGGGAGGGAAGAAAATAGCAAAAGGCACCAAGTGAAACATGCTGTAAAATTCACATGCGCGCGCACACACACACGATGGCGGCGAGAAGCGGCGACCGGTGGCGACCTCCTGTGGCAACTACTCTCAACAGCTCGCTCGCTCTCGCTACGCGAAGCGCCTGGCTGGCTAATTGGAATGATTGGCATTAATTAACCCAGCTTACTGCTGCATAGCTGCCACATTATACAATCATGGTTGGCAGGAGAGGGAGAAAGCATGAGAGAGAGAGAAAGGAGAGAGAAAGAGAAAGAGAGAGAGAGAGAGAGACAGAGAGAGAGAGAGAGAGCGCGCGCGCGAGAGAGAGAGAGAGAGAGAGAGAGAGAGAGAGAGAGAGAGCGCGCGCGAGAGAGAGAGAGAGAGAGAGAGAGAGAGAGAGAGAGAGAGAGCGCGCGCGCGAGAGAGAGAGAGAGAGAGAGAGAGAGAGAGAGAGAGAGCGCGCGCGCGAGAGAGAGAGAGAGAGAGAGAGAGAGAGAGAGAGAGAGAGCGCGCGCGAGAGAGAGAGAGAGAGAGAGAGAGAGAGAGAGAG